AATTTCACAACTTTGAGAATTTTGGCAATTTTTGTGTGGTTCTTCTCAAGCAATATTTTTGTGTAATTTGTGGGAACTCTCTAGTAATGATTTTCGTGTGTGTTTGGCTTGGAAATAGCTTGTACTTATAGTGGAGAGGGAAGAGACAAGCTTTCATAGAAAGAATCTTCACCATAATGCCATGCTTTTATGTCAAAATCAAACAAATTTAATAGTTTCCAAAACCTTAAAATCTTGCCCTTTCCATGCTTGAATGTACCTGGACATTTTGGCACGAAATTATGGGCTTCTAGGCAGGCCAAATCAATACCCCAAAGGTCAAGGCCCATCTCCAAACATTTTGTACAATTTATTTTATATTTATTTGAAATAAATTTAAATAAATATATAAAAAATAGGTAGAAAATGCAAGACCATGCAAAAATAAGATGAGAGGTCCTCTATAAACTTAAGAAAATATTTGAACCTTAAGAAGTAAGGCCATTGACTCAAAATTTCAAATTTGCTCAATGCACCATTCTTGAAATTTCCAAAATTTTCCCAACTTGGGCAAGCCATAACTTGCTCAATTCTTATCTCATGATGATGATGTTGGACTTTTAGAAAGCCCAATATGTCTAATTAAATCCCTATTTTTATAAATTTTGCATTTGAAGATGTTGTCTTGATGTAAAAGGTCTTGGCAAAAAGTGGTTTTTGTTGACTTTTGGAAAATGACCTGTAATGTCTGAGCTTGTATCTTTCAAATGGTGCATTTCTTGTACTTGAGGGATGAAGATAAATTGTAGGGAATTGAATTCTCTTCAAAATTAGCTTTGGTGGAAAAATTTATGATAAAGTATGAGAAAGTTATGCCTAGTCAAAGTTTGGTTGACTTCTTCTATAGAAACCCTAATTAGCAATTTTAGACTTTTGATGAATTAGGAGCATTTCATGAGGAATCATGATCAACCCTTGATCAAATGATGGATATCACTTCAAAATGTTGATGTTGACCAAAAATCTTGAAGTTTGACTGTATATAGGCCACATTTGACTTTTAACCTAATACAGTTGATTTTCAGGCATTTGAGCAGTTAATTGAGCAAACTTGTTGTGCAAGGCATGAAATTTGGCATGGATATTATTGAGTACATATTAGGACCAGGGAAAACATTTGAGACCATTGGATCTCACACATCTTGATGAAAATTGAAACGCTAGTTAGAGGTTCATTGCCTTAGAAGGAGACTTTGTCTGGTCAATTCTTGGTCATCCTTGGGCAAGTTGGGGACCTAAATGGGCATGTGTTGAGTAAAAAGGGAGGGCAAATTTTGGGGTACAACACCCTTAAATCTTCATCTCCTTTCTCAGCTTCATTCTTCCATCATCTTCATCTTCACCATTTTTCACATTCTGAAGAATCACCCAGAAAATCTACACAAAATTCTCTCTGCTCTCTCAACTTCACGATTCATTTCATCTTCACTCTCAAATTGCAACCTCCATATCTGCATCTTCTTCAATCATCATCCAAAACTCCCTTCAATCTTCTGCAACATCAATTATTCAAACCTCCATCTCTACATCTTCTTCAATCACACACCACAATCTTTGATTAACAACATAAATTCCGCAGTACCATCATCTCCATCATCGTTGCAACATCAGAATCTTCACTGCAATAACAAGAATGTATCAGTTCTTCATCGCAGGTCCATCTCCTTCACTAGGTGAAACAACTTGCTGGACAAATTATCGAGATGAAATCAATAAAGTCGCCATCGAACATTTTTTATCCCACAGGAAGGGAAAGGTAAATATCGAGTAAACCTGAGAATGCTGAAATCACGATCAAATGACCAAGAGATCGGGTAAGAGAGTCTGTTACGCGAGGGGAAGGTATTAGTACCCCACACACCCGTAGTACTCTACGGTATCCACTCACGTTGTTCTAATCAAAGGGTGTGTTACAAATCTAATGCTTAAGAGCTAAAAGAAAATTCAAAGAGGGAATGCACGCAAAAGAAAAGAGAAAATAATGTAGGAAAAATAAAGTTGTGCTCGTTCGGGCCCTACCTAAATACCTACGTATCCCTTTTAAGGAATCAGAGCAGTTGTAGTTCGGCTCACATGTTTTGAGTTGTTTGCATTTTTTAAAGAACACTTTTAATTTCGGCTTCTGCCGCAACCCGGCCTTTGGAGACTCACGCGTCAGCATATAAGTGAATTAACATGTTCTTTTGAAAAGTTTGAAAGAAGAGAAAAGGAGCCCGAAGGCGGAAAAAATTTGTATTGGTTGATATCTTTTACCTTGAAAAAAGATTTGAAAGTTTTTAGATGTTTTATGATTTGCCAAGAAAATAAAGTTTTATTCTTAATGCAAGGATGCAAAAAAAAAACATCTAGGAAAACTAGCTTAAATTTAATCCCTAATGTTATTATACAATGTTTGATCCTAAGATCAAGGATAAAAAGGGAAATCTCTACCCTATGTTAGCATGAATGGATACCTATCCTAATGTTTAGCTCGAAAGCTACTCTAACCGAGAAATCTTAATTGAGGCATGCAAATTCCTATTCTAAGGTAACATGGTATAGCAAAAAAATAAGCAAACAAGTGCTTTAACAAAAGCACACAAACACGAGTAACACATACTGACTCAAAGGGATGGGGAAACAAGAGAAATGTTTTAGCTAAGGGGAGCAGATCACCCGAACAAGCAAGCGGGAGACTGATGAAATAAAAAATAAAAGAAATGCTTTATCTAAGGGGAGCAGATCACCCAAAGCAAACAAGCGGGTAGCAATGTATTAATAATGGCCATTGTGAACTCCTGACAAAGTGTTGGGGTTGGTTGCAAACCCTTTTCCACATGACCGACTTGATACACATGATCTGCATGAATCCAAAGTGCCAATGTACAATGTAAGCTAAGGATAACACATACTAGAATGCGTGGGGGTTGGCTACTAACCCTCTATGCTCGCCTCATTTTAAGGACTTATCACCTGTGATATATGCGGGAACAAATGTAAACATACGTGCAGAATACCTACTTTAAAGGTAGGATTTTAAACAAACACAGATAACATACAGAAAGTGGTGCCTGCTATAGGACTTTAAATAGCGACTTTGAGCGCACACTCTTTATTTCCTACTTCTCATGATATCTAGGAAGCTGTAAAATGCTGAAATGCGATAAACAAGAGAAAATACCAAGCAGATATCAATCTGTAGCAAAGCGTATCAAGACAAAGAAACTCGAAGATCTTCGTGAAAGCTTCACCAATCAAAGAAAAGAGTCAGAAATCAAATGCTTGGAATAAGTGTCGAAGCATCATCGATGTGAAAATAAATCACAAGTGGAAGGTGCACCAAGTATATCTGAATATCACATAATAAACCTGCATACGACTCAAATCTCAACAAGCAAAGGTGAATCACAAGTCTCGAATAACAAAATGATTACTAACATAATCGATAACAGAAAATTCTAAACAAACTTCTACAAAAGAAATTCTAAAAAAAATCTATTATATTCCACTATTCTTTATTGTTTTTATTATGGAAAAAAACTAGAGAATTAGTTCCTAATCACAAAAAACACTAACAAGTCTTATTGATTTTGTAATTTTTTATCAACAATCTATAACAAAAAATAAGAAAAATGTCATGAAAATCTAAAGAGAAAATTAGACTCAAGAGGGCGTTAAACGGAAATCAGGGGGTGTTGTAGTAGAAACAAAAGCAAGGCGCAGTCCATGGGAAATAGTCCAATAAGCCAGTTTTTTTGTCACAAGGCTTGCAGGCTCCAAAAATTCACGTTGAGCCTTAGAATGAATACAATTCGACCCAGTTCAACAAGACCGGTCCATTTTTTTTTTAATTCTTTAGTCTCCAAAAATGAACCATGGGCTTAGGAGAAGAGCTTCGGTCTACTCAATGATCCAACAAAACCAATCCATTTTTATTTAATTCAATTTTATTTATCTTTATCAATAATAAAAAAACAATTAAAACAACAACAGCTGAAATGCAGGTGTTTAGTCTGTTAGAGTAAAAGCCTTGTGTCTATTCAGATCTATCGAACAGTAAACTCTCCATCCTCCCTCTGTGAGAACAAAATCGTGGTTACAGAGGGAGAAGATTTAGTTTGAAGGTGAAAGATTGATGGTGCAGTTTGAAGATTGCCGTCAACAGAGAATGAAGATGAAGCAGAGAGAGAGAGGAGAAAGCTTTGAGAATTTTCTGGTGATTCTTCTACTGAAAATTGAAGAATGAATGAATCAGGGTAAATTTTCTGGTTTTATTCTGTTAGAGCTATTTGGAATCAGTTACATCTACTTGAATATGGGCCTTTGATTATAGAATTAGTTAGAGATAATAGATGGTGAGGATGAGAGATTTGAATCTACTAATAACTATCATGAGTTCTGTTAGAAGATGCTAAGTAGGAATTTCGATTCACTTTTTACTCTGAGATTCACCACTTAATATTCTTTCTGGTTTAATTTATTCACTTGCCCTGGTTTAAAATGAACTGAAACTGAGTTGGACTTTGATTTTAATCACGAACTCGTTTTTTATTTGGTGAATTTTCTGGTTATGCAGGTTTGAAAATTGGTTGTAAAACTCAGGTTATTGACTCCGTTGGTGGTTTAACTGAAGCTAGCTCGATTTGCCAATTTCCCTTTCCCTTCTGATTTAATATTTTGATATATCGTGAGCTGATTTTCTGACTTTATGAATTTCTTCCTGCTTTTTCTTCTTTGGTTATTTTCTTCTTCTTTTGAACTTATTCTCCTTTACTTCTTGTTTTGGTTATCTTGTAATTTCTGGTTTTTTCACCTTGAACGGGGCTACAGTTTGGATAACAGGCCACCAGTTTCTACACTGATAATGTAGGGCAGCTTGGATATGATAACTGGTTTATGTTATTGAAATGATGTCGTTTTGATACAGTTTCTGAATTAATTTTCTGCTCTCTTTATTGATGCAGGACTGCAGTTTTGGATAAATGATGCAGGGCTTGTTTGTCATACATATATGTAACATTTATGGATGGATCCTTGAACAGGGCGGCAAGCTCGCATTGTTTCGAGAAGGATCTTGTAATGGTCTTGGCATATTATCGAAGCATCTCGGTCAGAGGAGTATGGCAGCAGGTTTTGGAGGAATGTCAAGGCATATATTTCAGTTCACGGTCGGAATAAGAGATATGAGATTAGTGGTTGGAGGAACTGAAATGATGAAGAGAAATAGGGAAGATTAGAGACCATAATCACTGATTATTTCAATGGTCAATTGTTGTGTTTTTTTTTATCTTGCAATTTTCTGATAATTTGTAACAACTTGTAATTATTAGCATTCACAACCCGTAAAGATTTGTAAACCAAGTAACTGAGAGTTTTATCTCTTTGGAACTTCATGAAAATCCCGTCAAGTTATATCTCTTATTCAATACTCCAACCTTGAACCAACCCTTATATTTGCACTTCATTTTTTTAAAACAAGTTTACACTTAAAAGCAATTATGCATACTAATGGCCTTAGAACGTGTAATGACTTGTGATGGTTTGAACATGGAATTGTAATTTTGTATGCTTTGAAAATCCCATGATAATCCCTTAAAATATTCAAATCATTTTCTTCCAAATTTAATTTTGAATTCCAAACTCCCTTGACCTTAAGCCCATAAAATCCATAATGTACAAAGCTTTCTTCAATTGTAACTTAAATAATTCATGTAATACCAAATCAAATAAACCAACATCTCTCAATGTCTTCGAGTGAATGAATTTTCCTTGTAATTCTTTGCCTCTGGAACTTTAATTCAACATTCTAATATCAAACTTGCATGATAAGTAACACATCTTTGAAAGGATGATGGAGGTTTAAGTTCCAAGAAACTTGCATTTTCAAGCAACAAACAATTAAGAGAATAACCAAGTTTTGATCATAATGAATCTCTTGTTTTATATCTTGTATCATGCTTCAGGTTTTAGCAAATCAATCCTCAAAGGCAACTCAACTTGGTATCCAATGATACTAAGATAAATGCCTTGAAGAAAAACTTGAAGAAGATAGTTGAGAACTTGAGGATGAATCATGGCTCAAAAGATTCTCCTTTGAAGTATTGACGGAAATCCTAGAATTAAAAAATCAACCCTAATTCCACTCAAACTCAACTGAATGTCTTAACCAAACTCAATCATAAAAAATTGAAACCCTGATCTTCTGAAAAATATAGAAAAATAAACTCTGATTCAAGACCTTGGTGAACTTCGGAGAAGGATAATCCCTGTAACTTGATGAAAAGAGATCCTCAGTAACCATGAATCAAAACCCTAATTTCAGTTCTCATTGCTTGAAGAAGAAACCATCCTTTATTGGGTACGAACGCCCTAACCACTATAAAACCCTAAAATTGCACGGTCAATGAACTTTGAACCTCAGGTGCTTTATTGAATGCAATGTATGCCATGTTAGTGACCTAATGGAATATATGCAGATGAATGCAAAAGTCTAAGCCAGATAATAGTATCAATTAGAAGGGCAAATTTTGGGGTACAACTACTGCCCCTATTCAATCTTATTTGACCAGAGGGTGACATGGGCGCAAGCCCTTCAAACAATACATGTGAAAGAGGATTTAATACTTAATAGAATCGTAAAATTTGTGCTCCGAAGCCAGTCGGGTATTATTATATTTTTTGGTTTTTCTGTATTTTCTATTTTTTTGCTTTTTTGGGTTACAGTGGTTATCTGGGTAAATCTCTTGGATGTCAGGTCAAGGTTAGACATACAAGACAAAGATCAGATACTCAAGAAAAAGATCCACTACAATGGATCCTAACAAAGATATCTAACAAGAAAGAGACCTAACAAAGCGGACTCAATCGAAGATGTCGGGAAAAGATGGGATCTCATAGTGATTTCACCCAAAGATAACAGAGATGGATGAGACCTAAAAAAGCGATCTTAAATGAAACTATCATAAATGGAAGAGATCTAACAAAGCAATCTCGACTAAATATCGAGGAGGGAGAGTTTCTAACACAGCGATTTCGGCCAAAGATAAGGAGGGAAGAAATCTAACACAGCGATCTCGACCAAAGGTAACAAAGACAAAAAAGAGACCTAATTGAAGACACCGAAGAGGGAAGATATCTAATAAAGAGACCTCGGCCAAAAATACGGAAGAAGGAAGAAATATAACACGGTAATTTCAACCAAAGATATCAAAGAAGGAAGAGACATAATAAAGCGGAATCAATTGAAAATATTGAAGATGGAAGATATCTAACAAAGCGATCTCGACCAGAGATATCAAGAGAAGAAGAAATCTAACACATCGATTTCAACCGAAGATATCAAAGAAGGAAGAGACCTAACACAACGGACTCGACCGAAGATATCGAAGATGGAAGAGATCTAACAAAGCGAACTCGATCGAAGATATCAAGAGAAGAAGAAATCTAAAACAACGATTTCAACTGAAGATATCAAAGAAGGAAGAGACCTGACACAACGAACTCAACCGAAGATATCGGAGATGGAAGAGATCTAACAAAGAGATCTCGACTAGATGTCAAGGAAGGAAGAAATCTAACACAGCGATTACGACCAAAGATATCAAAGAAGGAAGAGACCTAACATAATCAACTCAACCGAAGATATCGAAGATAGAAGAGATCTAACAAAGAAATCTAGGCCAAATGTCAAGGAAGGAAGAAATCTAACACATTTATTTCAACCGAAGATATCAAAGAAGGAAGAGACCTAACACAACATAATCAACCAAAGATATCGGAGATGGAAGAGATCTAACAAAGTGATATCGACCAGATATCGGAGATAGAAGAGATCTAACAAAGTGATATCGACCAGATGTCAACGAAAGAAGAGATCTAACATAACGATTTCAACCAAAGATATCAAAGACAAAGGAGACCTAACAAAGAGGACTCATTCGAAGATATCAAGGGATGGAAGAGATCTAACAAAGTGAACTCGACCAGAGCTATCAAGGAAGGAGAAATCTAACACAACAATTTCAACCAAAGATATCAAAGAAGGAAGAGACCTAACATAGCGGACTCAACCAAAGATATCAAAGATGGAAGAGATCTAACAAAGCAATCTCGACCAGATACCAAAGAAGGAAGAAATCTAACACAACGACTTCAACCAAATACATCAAAGATTGAAGAGACCTAACATAGTGGACTCGACCGAAGATATCGAAGATGGAAGAGATCTAACAAACCGATCTAGACCAGATATCAAGGGAGGAATAAATCTAACAGTGGACTCGACCGAAGATATCGAAAACTAAGGAGACCTATCAAAGCGGACACAATCGAAGATATCGAAGATGGAACAGATATAACAAAGCGTTCTCGACCAAAGCTATCAAAGATGGAAGAAATCTAACACATCGATTTCAACCAAAATTATCGAAGATGGGAGAGATCTAACAAAGCGATCTCAACCAAAGCTACCAAAGATGGAAGAAATATAACACAACAATTTCAACCAGGGATATCAAAGAAGGAAGAGACCTAACACAGCGGACTCGACCAGAAATATTATGGGAGGAATATTAATCACAGATAGACTCCCGGAGAAAGAACACCGATTGAAGGCGAATTGGAGATAAAATATACGTGTCTGGTCAGTGTTAAACACATATAAGAAGGAGACCTACTGAAGTAGACTCCAATCAAGATACAACGATCAAAGGTGGGCCCACTGATGAAAAGAAAACTATCCAAAGATAGACTTTTGGATAGAGAATGTTGACCAAAGGCGGACTTTTTAGGGATACAACGTGACAAATTCTGCTGAGAGAACTGGACGAGAATTTTGACCAACGAAAATCCAAAGAGAACGCCAAATCAAAGGTGAACTTTATAGAAGAAAGAGACCAGTCGAGGGGTACTCTGACAATGATTTCCAAAACACATTGGACTTTTAAGAGGTTGCAAGTACGCAAAAGCTACAAAATCCCTTGGGCCAAAGGTGGGGTGTAATTCTTCAATAGTGGAAATTATCTAAATTACCACACACCAAGTATGGATACTCAAATACCTGAGAAATAAGAAAGGTTATACACCGACTCTTACTTGCACTCCAACAGTAAAGAAAACACGGGTAAAATAACAAAGGGCAAGAGAAAACCACGACTTACTAGGGAAATAGAAGATACCAAAGACCCAATTTGTAGTAAACCAAACAGACTCCGTTGGGGAAATAGGATAGGATCACCCTAGACTTGCTGTGGAGATAATTCAAATCTGAGCACATAACAATTTGGTTACCACAGTTCAACACAATTGGCTTATTCCTTAATGCATGTTTGAATTTTTTTTATAGCATAATGCTCCATACAATGGAAATGCTACGCATTTTGATAGATGTAATATAATGATACATGTTTAGCAATGCACTGGGGAAAACACATCAATAATCAGCTGCTGAGAAGAAAATGAACTTCCGAACGATTATTCTTGCACATCTGATCTTCTGTAGAGAAAAGGTAATATGAACTTCAAAGGAGAACCAAGGTTCGGAACCACCAACCTCTAAAGATCGATATCACTGAGGAAGTAACTTCCTAGAGAGAAATACTGCAAAAATAAAATGCAGTTCAGAGAAAATATTGAATTTTGATCAAACTACTAACTTCCTATGGAGGAAATTCTTTATCTTCAGTTAGAAAGAGGAGAGCTTCGTTGGGGATGGAAACTTTCTCGTGTAGAATTTCTTGATGAATATAACTTCTAATAGGGAGTATAGAAATTATTATGTAAAAATAATTCTACCTAGACCACACTGGGGATAACACAACCAGGGAGTAAAAAATCTTCATTTGGGGAAGAAACAAACATCCTGAGACAGAAACTCCACTGGGGATATTTCAATAAAATCTTCTATCATCGGGGATAAAAAAAGTTATGACTGGAATTCCCATGTACACCACACTTGGGAGACATGGAACTTGCTCTGCTAGGGAAAGAAAGCTTGCTCCACTGGGGAATAATAGATAAGTTACTCTGGCAGGTCCTCGAAATTCGACTTCGACTGGGGAAAAAGACTACCTCTTACACTGGGGAGCCAAAAAACTTTGAATGGTAACATCAACAATACCCATTGCACTGGGTGTAGCCATCTCTGCAAGATTCACTTCGGCAATGATTTTTGTACTGGGGAGCATAAATCACTTCATTGGGGATGATGGTCGTCCTCATGAGGATGCCAAACCATAGT